TAGGCAGGATGCTTTCCTCTTGGCTCCCAGAACTCTCAAACCCACTGGAGATCATTATTTTGCAATCTCTTTGCAGGGAAATTCTGTATGGAGCAAACTTGTTGGCGATCCTTGTCCTCTCCTTAATTGGGAGAGGGGTTCTGAGGAGCCGATCTCTTCACCACCTGCTCTTTTCACCGCGGTCATCAGCTCTGCGAAAGTGGAGCTGTCTTCAGTCCGCCATCGCTGTCCCCGGAAGCCCAAATTCATAGAGTTTTATATCAGTGTATGAAAAGGCCATAGTGTTTTAACCCTTGAACAAATGAACTAGTCCTCATGAAGCCCTTGTGATGATTTGAGTTAGAGGTTTAGAAGTTACTAGCAAATAAAACCATTCAAAACAATGGCTACATGTTTTCCTTGCATGGATGCAGCTGTTCTTTCTCACTTATTTACCCCAAATGATATTTTATGCACTTTCCCCTTTCTGTTACGTTTGCTTTATCTGAGATATTCTATAGTGAATATATTCAATGATGAAATGTATCTCTGCTCCCATTTTTCCTTATACATTAAACATTCATCATTATCAACAATTTTGATTGCCACTGCTATCTGTATTACAGTCACTATAATAATGTATTTTATGTCATTCTTTGCATTTTATGTCTTTTTAAAAAAAAAAAATTATTACAGGTTTATGTATTTTATTGTTGTTCTACTGGCCTAAAGGCCATAATAAAGGTTTGATGATGAAGATACATTAAACATTAACTTAAACATTAAACAAAAATATCAATATAATTAATTAGTTACAAGTATTAAATGATATTCTAAATTAACAAAATAAAGAGCTATAGACTTGATATCTAGTATATATTAATAAGAAATAAAAGGAGAAAGGGAAAAGTAAAAAAAATCCAGAAAATAGAGAACAAAAATGGGTCCTAATGTTTGAAAGTCTTTCTAGTTGCTGCATTGAAAAAGAGCCAATTTAAATATTTCACATTCAATTCCTGCAAATTAGGATTCGTTTTTCCTTTCTGTGCTTCATAGTTTTTAAACCATGATTTGTACTAGTAATTATAATTATTATTCATTATCAAATTTACTGGAAATAACAGCAGGGATTATGTTTAGACAAACAAAAGAACCAAATCTACATCCTCATCCTCATCATCAAATCCATCATCACTGCAGGATGAAGGCCTCTTCCTTGAAAGTTATAGACTTTTATTTACCATGCTGGCCCAATGCAGGTTGGTTGATAAATATTTTTTGACTTTCCAGTCTAGAGATGAGAGAGAATGACTGGCCAAAGGCGCCAACCAGTTCCCGTGTCTACAGGAGGATCGGAATCGGGGCCTCCTACTTCTAGTCTTGCATCTTCACTAGTATCCCACACTGGCTTTCAAAATCTAATACCATAATAACCAAATTTAATAACAAAGATGATTTCAGAAGCTACCCAAGGATCAGGGCAAAACAGTTGACTCTTAAATTATTACTCCCTCTTGCAGTTCCATATTTTGTTTTGCTTTGCTTTTTTATTTATTCGCTCAAATGGACTGTACCAAACTCTACTTTACCTAAGAAAGATTTGTTCAGTTTTTTTAATCCTCAAATCCTAGTAATTTTTGTAAACTCATTCACAAGTTTTGAAAGTAACATCCTGATAAATGGTAATGATTTTGGATGGCCCTATTCCAATCTTTCTGCTGACACCTGCTAAGGAAACAACATTGTTTTCTCAGAATGATACTACATGGTGGTGTACGATCCTGTTGAAGATTTCTAAGAGGAACCCCTCGTTTTTCTCTGAAACCCTTGCCAAAATAATGTTACATCACCATCATATAGTAATTGGGTGGAGATTTGGGTGTGATGGTAGTTGGCAGCTGATCATTACTGAGAGGAGTTTTACATAGTGTTTTTTTCCCTCTCCCATAATTCATGCCCTCTGCTTCAGAATTGGCAGAATAGTTCCCCCACCTCTGCTTTCTTGTTCCAAAAACTATGGAGAACTTTTGGTTCACACTTAACAATTAACTGTTCATAGAGAAAATCATGCACACAGAGTGTGACAGTTGAGCACTTCTTGACAGAAAGGCTGGGCACAAAAATGAGTGATCAAAAAGAACGAGATTGATCTGCCCTACAGAGTGCTAAATATTTTTCTCTAGACCTGCTAGGAATCTGTAATGTCAAGATTGCTCTCTTGAATAAAATACAGTATTCTTGCTGTGTCTTTAAAAGTTCAAGTTAAGTTTTAGGTCACTGAAGATTTATTTGATAGAGGTTCTGATCTTCTATGACCTTACTCAATGAAACATATCTGAAAGGTTGGAAAATGTAGATCTACATTTTGTCCTTGATTTCTCCTTTTATAGAATCAAAGACTTCGGGAAAGTTGCCTGTTTTGTTTAGCTTTTCAGGTGGGCAGAAAGAAACTCAAATATTTTTCTGAACTTTCTCTACTTAGAAACACTATCTGTATGTGTCGTAAACTGGGTTATTTTTCCTTGCCATCTTGGTTAAAGGGCTTTGTCGAACTAGTCAGTTATCCATTCACTTTCTGAAGAGGGTTAGTCCATGTTTATGTATAAACTAGTAATAAAGATGTACACTTTATCTTCTATAAAGCACAATTCTTAGTCAAAAGGACTGCAGAAGTATTGTGAATTCAGTTTATGTAGTATTTATTTATTCAGTTTATATGAGAACTATCACTTAGCTGAGCTAGTTGGCTGTTCTCCCTTCTTGTGGGACTGTAGAATTGTCGAAGAACTTTAAAAAGAATAGTTGTAACATAGTTCTGCATGTTCAAATGCAGTCATATGGCCTTCTCACATTTTCCACTACAGAACTTTGTTTGATTTCTCTCTGCCCATCAAAGGCCTATAGGGGAAAATACATAATGAGAACAAAAATCGCTGCAGTTTTCAGAAGGAACTGAGCAGGAAATGACATATGAAAAGCCTTAAGATGAGGTAGGGTAAAATGCCTGCTTTTATCTTAGTGCTGCCAGATGTTTCTCAGCTGTATAAGCACAAAACTAATTGTATAACGATTAAAATCATACAATACAAAATTTACAGGTAAGCAAAACTGTGTTTTATAAAATAGACAACTGTAATACTATGTGTTCCCTTGGAACAATATGGCTTCTTTTAAGTCCTGTTTCTTTCAGCCACATAGTCCACTGTGCCCCACACTAAGCCCTATTTAATTGTTTTTCGATTGTTTGGGGGCTTGTTTCTCATTTTGAGGTGTGATCCTTCTTTTAGAGCCAAGGATAAAACAGATGTTCTTAAAAGTGGCATCCATCAATCGGACCATTTTTGTAAAATGTCCTCTTAGCTCTCCAGACAACTATCTATTTCAGTCAATAGGAATCTGTGTAAATTAAACTATTGGATCCATAACTTACTAAAAAGTATTAACAGTGTTTGTACAGAAGAATGTTTGAGCCTTTGAATAGTTTAGCTTTTAAGAAAGCATTGTTTACTTTCAGGGGTAAGGTGCGTACTGATCTAATGTGGAGAGAAGGGTTTTTCTTCTCCTCCTCTACTTTTCCCAATTTATTTTTTTAAAGAATTGAGAATCTAGTCAAATAATACCACCTCTACTGTCGTTAGGAAATCTTACATTAGAAGTATGGATTTGGACTGGTGTTTTACTGATGGTAAATCTTAAGCAACAATTAATTAAAGAAAACTGAATAAGATGTAGACAGAAGTTCCATTCTCTAAAATTGAAACTTTATACAGTATTAATATTATAAATCTATAATCTATTTTTATATTTGTATACTACTGTATACTAAGGCATGCTTGTGGAATGCATTGTTTTGGATTTACTCTCTCTATATCATCACGCATGTAATGCAATCAATTAGGTACTATGAATCTTCTTTGTTTCAGTGAGAGAATTAAATATGTGTACTATTGTCCAGTGAAACACAACTTGGTACCTTTAAACTGAGTTAGATTATTCCTTTAGCAAACAGCAGTAGGGTTATTTTCTAAGTTCGGTTCAGCTACATTGAAAAACATATTGAATTACAAATGGTCTAAAAATAATCAGTCTGCAACGGGATTGACTTGAACATTGTGAAATCTTTTGATGTAAAACCCCTGCTGGATTAGATGAACAGACCACAAAAATGAATACTTCATTTCCTGAGATAGCCAAGCAGACAACGTGAACCAAACTACAGCATGAAGGCGAAAGGCCTTTTCTAGCTGTTGCTGCCCTATTAAGTGCTCTGCCAAACTTTATCATAAGATCCAAACTGGCCCAGAGGAGGTAAAGCCACTTTCTGTTGGGAATAATTGTGCTTGTGAAACAGCATGATCCCCCTCCCCTCGCAAGCTCCTTTATTACCCCAATTATATGCTTCTGAAGCTGCAGAGTTTTTTTTATATGGAGAAGGCAAACTAGCCACTCTAAAGTAAAATGGAATACCTTCTAAATGCTTTGCTCTCTTTTCAAGGAATTGTCTGCAGATAGTCAAAGCATTGCATTCTTGTCCCATCTGTGTTCAAAAATGACAAGACACTGATCAGAGCGCTCTCTTGCTCTAGCCATGAAAGACACAGTGATCTTGCCAGTTCTTGACATCACTTTGCAAACAGAGCTTCGCACAAAAACATTGCAGGAGCTGCCAAAAATGGTTTCAGTTGGTTGGGAACACATATAATATTTTGTGTTTCCCAATACAGCTGGCTTGATTTTTGTTTTTTGTTTTTTGTTTATTTTCCAGAGTATTTGATCTGAGACAAAGCATGCTTGCTGTTTGCATTAAAACTTAGTGTAAAGAAGAGTGAGAACAACCATGCAAACAGAAGAATAATTCTATAAGAAATAGAGATTCCCTTTTACAAGAGCAAAGGAGAACTGTATGTGATAGTTGTCCAAATAGTTTGTCATATTCCAAATTTATTTTAGAATTGATTACTACACTTATCTATTCCACAAAGCAAAATAAGTATAGGGTTTTTTTTCTTCTTTTTCTTCAGCTCACATTGACAACAGAGATAAAAATGAAATTGAGATTGAAGAGCCAAAACCAAAGGTAAGTTGCTGAGTAGATTATCATAGGTATACTTTTCCCTCTGTCGTTGCTCTGCCTTGAAACATTTTTCTTCAGAGAGCAGGTTGTTTTCTTTCTGATGACAGGGGAAAAAAACTTTAATGCATTTTAGGCATCTAAAATCCAGGACTATCCAAGACTATCCTGGAAGTTGTTTTGAAATTAGACACTTTCTCCAATTGTAGTATTAACTCATCTGACTTCCCCACTCTCCCCCTTTGAACAAAGTCCATAATCTGAAACAAGATTCTCTTAAAAACAAATAGTTTTCCTATGCATCAAAAGGGCCATTTTCATTCTCTAAGTCTAAGCAAGAAAGGGCTGCTGTAGTTATAACCCACTACAGTAATTAGTATGGAAGGGGACAGAGCAAACTAGAAAGGACATATAATAAAGGATATTGTGAATGAAAGCCTCTGTTGCGGCTGTGTCATGCTGTACAGCAGATTTCATGACTTGTCCTGTGACTGAGGTTTGCAAAGTAGTTTTTTCACTTTAGCACAGTTAGGAATAAAGTACTGAATCTGCTACGGGGTGCTCAAAAGGCGGACCGCTCTTACAGACACACATACTAGCTCAGGCAAGGAGCATGACTGGAAGAGCTGCAGCCTTGGGTCAGCTGAATTATCTAAGGATTGTTCTTTTAAGTTTATCGTTTTACAATGTTCATATTAAAAACAGTTTCCCTCTTAACTAGCAAATATTTGCCAGTCATATAGTTATTAGGATGTACCCAACCATTTTATTGGCCATAATATTTCAGAAACCTCTGAACTTTTATTTCAGGAATAATATTGTAGTGGATTGCAAAAAAAAAAAAAAAGCAGTCTTCTAAAATTAGCATAAATCTAAAAAGGAAAATAATTCAGACACCTGTATGGGCCACATTAATTAACATAGAAGACCTGTGGATGTTTGCTAAGTTTTGATGCGGAATAAAGAGAAATATTACCCGTCTCATAATTGTACGACTTATGATGACAATTAACAGCATGGAGATAATTAATATGACATTTGAAAACTTCTTTACCATCATTTGATAAATACTTGCAAATCCTGCGATGTTCATTGTAAGGATGAAATGTTCCTTAAATAGGGGCTAGGATATGCCTTTGTTACGTTTTCATAGATCAGGAGAAAGTAGTAATTTCATTTAGCTTTTAGTTTGATTCCAACATGGTTGACTCAGCAGTCATTCTTATTTTGTTTTAACCACCATTTTTTTAAAGTTTATTACTTTTCATTTTTTTTCTTTTTCATGCTAATCCTTGGTTTAATTGTATTTGTTTTAAAGACATCTATATCTTCCTCTGTCAAAGTCCCGCAAAGTAGATCTTCCATTAACCCCAAACGCAGCTCCTCTGTTAGTTCTATCCCTTTGAAAAAACCCTCCAACCCTCCTGAGTCCTCAGTATCAGCAGCCACCCCTAAATGCATCTCTTCTATCGCATCCCGATCAACCAGTACAGGAATAAAAGAAAAAAAAAGCAAGGTAAGGAATTACTTAAAAAAAAAAAACCAAGCAGGGAGGAAGGGAGGGGGATTATTTCTTTCCTATTTGAATTTGGCCACTTGGTTTATGCAGTTATGTTTAATTTTATTTACCTTGCTGTACCTTAGGGTTGGAGATGTGGATTACCTTTACTAGATTATGTCTAACTATGGCTACTCATTTAGTAATGTCTTGCTAATGCAGTCCCTCTGCCACTTGAGTGACTAGGCTAGGATTGATCACTGGCTCTTTATAACTGAATTGAGCAATACTTGCTTGACCTAGTTAAATGAACTCATAATGTGCTACACTCACTTTGAAGCCAAGGAAACTGCTATTTAGTAACTGCCAGTTATGCTCTTCAGTGAGGATTTGCTGTTCAAGCTCATTTGCAGTTCCCCAGCTTGGCAATAAGGAGGGAGAATGAAAAAGACTAATTGATGTTTTTGTAACCAACTTCACCTGTTTTGCCCCAGTTTGGATTTAATGTTGCTCAGTTTTTCCAGACGGCAGAGAAAATTGCATAGTGTCAACTATGGAGAGCCAACAGTCGCGCTGTTGTCTGTTTCTAGGTATCAGATTTCAGTGTTGCAGAAAAAAACCTTGATGGAATTGGTGTAAAGAATCAGTCCCTGAGTGTAGTTGATGGCATAGCCATGTGGATACCTACTGTACCGCCAATGTGCCCGAGTGCTGAAGGACAAAATGACATAAACAGCCTTCCTCTCTTCAGTAACATTGTACCATGGTGGAGAGGATATGATGCAGCCTGTTAGACCTGATCAGGTTGATTTGCTTTTGAACAAGTTGCTAGTGTAAAGTCCCTTTGAGTCACTGTGACAATGATTAGTGATTTCTCTCACAAAGTTATTCTTAATCAGTGAAGAAAAGGCAAAGAAGACATTTTGTACTCAAAAAGCATCAAATACAGTAAGGACCTACAACATTAGACTTTGGTGAACTTTTATTTATTTAGGAGACGTAGACTGAAAACTCTGCAAAGATAGGGAGCATTTTAGCAATTTTTTGTTCTTTTTTTAGGTTCACTAGCAGTACAGTAACCCCTGCCCTTTCTCAATGCATCTTCAGGGTCCGGATATGAAAAGTGCATCGAAGATAGCCACTCCCCGCTCTGCTGTGCCCCAGAATCAGAAGAGCCCAGCCAGTGCATCTCGGATCCCTTCCAAAACTCCCACCATTCCTAAGACTCCACCCAGCCTCAGTAAGAGAAGGAGTTTATGTGTTCATTCTGTTCCGGATGGAGGGATTTTGAGAAAGAGGAAAAATATGACTCTTTGGTTTACTGGACTTCTTTTTACATACAAATATGTGAAATTAATTTTGTGGTAATTTCTCAGGAGAAAATCTAAATTTTTCAGTGCACCCTTGGCAGTTCATGTGACTGAAAATAATGCCATTGGACAGACCTTCAAAATGGGAGGTTATCCTGGAAAGGCTTAAAGTTACCACAGCTTAATATTACAAGGGATTTCCTCATGGCCTGTGTCACTCCCCTCACCAAACACTCAGAGCTTTCTTACAGTGTCCTGCAATCAACTTGACTGCAGCCATTGCAGGAGCAATCAGAGCTGACCTGTGCTCCTTCCATTCAAACAAAAATGAAGGGCAGAAATTAGCCCTTGCTTAGGGCCTAGCTGCATTTGTTCACAACAAGGAAAGAAACCATTCACACACACGAAACACAGATGGTATCGCTGGGAAAAGCTTTCCATGGTTCTTTGCAAGACACCCTAAACACAGAGCTCAAATTGTCACATGGAAACCTCCTTAAGTAAAAATAACAGTGGTTTCAAGCAGTCTTTATAAGTTTAGCATGACAAGTAGGATGTTTCCAAACAAAACTTATATTTTGCAGCCTCAAACACAAAATGTCAGCCTGCTTATAGCAAGCTTCTGCTTTCCCAATTAAGAAAGGAAAGACAGAAATGTTGCATGATTAGTAATGCTAGAGGATGTCTGTACAGAAGCATCTGTAGCCTTTTATTTCTACAGGCGGAGTAAATCCGTCACTACAATTGCTGAGAGCAATCCTGAGAAAAGATGCAGCTGCTTTAAGGAGATGAGGACAGGTGCTGCACGAGTGCCCCTGTGGTGCACCGGTGCACCGCTTTGCCTTTGACACTGAAATGCTGCACAGCCCTAATGAAGCTCAGTGATCATAAGTTTTCGCTCAACCTAGTGCAATCTACAGATCTTAGTGAACCGACTTTCCTAATGTTTGGCGATCAATTCATTATTTCCATATATTTCAATGCTGAGAACGATGCCACTAATTTGTAGTAGTTATTCCAATGTTTGGCTGAGAGCAGAAAAGACACTAAAAAGTCATGATTCAGTGAAGGAATATTTTTGTTCTTTCAGCTGCTAAGAAGGAGCAGAGAAGGCCCCCTAGCACAGCAGCAAAATCTGAGAGAGGTAAAAAAAAGTTTTCTTTTATTCCTTCTTTATTCCTAAAGAATCCTAAGATACTTTTCAGGCATTGACCTAAAAGATCCTTGATATTTATACTGACATTCCACCTGGTGTGTGAGACAGTACTTTGGAATGAAAAACATTCTGTTCTACCTTTCAGTTGGAAGGACAAGAGGCATCAGTGCGAAGACAGTTTAAAGTATAGTTCACACAAACACAGGCACTTGGGCAAAATAATTATGTAGTTTAAACATATAAATAAAATTGGCAGGATACAGCATCATCAGTGGTCGCTCGTTCAGTTGGCATTTCCCCACAACTGAAATAGTAAACATTTTTACCACTCCAGGAAGAGGACCATTGATGGAGCCCCAGAGTCATCAAGCTTAGCAGCCCAGTGCAGATGGCAGGAACAGAGCATAGTGTTGGACGTTAATAAAAGAGTCGCTTTGTGAGATGGGCGGCTATATAAATACCTACATATACAATACACATACATCTGAGTGTGTGGAAGGGTGCTTATAGAAAGAGACAGGCCATAAGGTACCCTGGCTCAATCTTGCTTACATTTTCAGTGTTTAGAAACCAAACTGACGTCAAGGTGCATACTTCATTTAGTAGGCTCCAATTAGTCCCCTAGCAGCTGGATTTCAAATAATAGTTATGAGTGTCTAACAGTAGTTGTACATGGTGTAATTGAAGTAGGAATAGTTGTAAAATATATATTTTTTTCTCTCTTTTAAGGGAATTTTCTTGAGCTTGTAAAGGAAAAAAAGAGGTGATTTGTCTTCTGACACCCAGACACATATCTTCATCTTTCTTAAGTTCTTTGTTAAGCACTGGTTGGGGTTAGATGTTTGGCTCGGTAGAACTGAGCTAATGTGATTTCTGGATATTGTTACACACAGGACTGACCCACTTAACACAATCCACTCATAACTGAAACTTCAAAATCCACATTATGGAACAATCCAGACTTTCTATGGTGAAAGTAGCATAATGGGCCTGTAGTGAGTCAAATGGAAAAAAAATACAGTGTTTCTCTAATACCATGCCACAGTTATTACAGTAGGGGGTAGCATGAATATCAGGGTGCACAATACTGAACCAGTGGATTGTAAGATTTTCTGGATACTTATAAAGCCAATAGTTGCTTTACTAATAATCTGATTCCACTTAAAATTTCTAAATAAATAAATAAATTGGTGCAATTAACAAGTGTATTCATTTATTTTCCATTGCTTCTCTGCATTCACAGTTGCTCACCTCTAGGCAATTTGCAAACTAAGTTGTAAAAAATAACATCATCATATCATTTATTAAAAATAATATAGAATTAGGGTAACTTACTGCTAAACAGATGGCAGGCAAAGTGCAGATATTAATCTCCAAAGGCTTGCTGGAACAGCTATGTTTTAACAATCTTCTGGAAGATGACTAAATTAGAGGCCAATCAGATCTTGTGGGAAACTTATTCCAGAAGGTTAGGACATCTTAAATTTTATTTTGTCATTTGGACTTTGCAAGCATTGAAAAAGACACTTAATCTCTAATTTGTATCATCATCACTTTCATAGTGGTAACAGTTGAATATGGTTTAATTCCACATATTCCAGGTTTACTGGTACATGACAATTTTGTTAATTACAGTGCAACCGTAACAGAGTTGTGCCTTTGCAATGATGTAATGGCATAATTACAGAATTACACTCAAAAGAACACTGTGCTTATATTGTGGATGTTGAATACATTCTGCAGGGACAATTTTTATGGGTACAAAATAGGTTAATAGCACCATACTGCATTATCTTCTTGATGTTACATGGACTCTTTCATGCTTATTGAATAGTAAGAAGTAAAATTTGGAATCAGCAACTAAAACCTATTCAATCTCAAATTGTAGGTGAACCAACCAAGTCTGGAGATAGAAGTGGGTACAGCAGTCCTGGATCTCCAGGAACCCCTGGCAGTCGCTCCCGCACACCGTCCTTGCCAACTCCACCAAACAGGGAGCCCAAGAAGGTTGCAGTGGTTCGTACACCACCAAAATCCCCTTCTTCTGCCAAGAGCCGCTTGCAGACAGCACCCATCCCCATGCCAGATTTGAAGAATGTCAAGTCCAAAATTGGTTCCACTGACAACTTGAAGCATCAACCTGGGGGTGGAAAGGTAAATCCAACACAGCTTGTATGTCTATGGAAACAGATATACAGGACAACTTTTGTACAGTGTACACTCTTTCTCTCTTCGCAATTCCAGCATTGCATTTCTTGCCTGTGAGACTTTCTCAGCTTTATGAGCCACTTTCACTTGGTAGAACATCTCGAGTAGTGTATGTGTGAGGTTATTGATTAGGAACTCAACATTATTGAAATGACACGTGTTCATTACCATTATATATGTGAAGTATTTCTTCCAAATTAGAAAATACATGGAAACTGAGCATGTACAGGGTAGTGAAGTGAATGGAACATCTGTTGAATACTTTGCCCATAAGAGAGCAGGTCTTTAAAGCCATATACAGAAGCACTGATCCACAGCAGTGACAAGACAGCGCTACATACATCATGTGCGAAGAACCTACGCTCTTGAAATTACATTGAAGAATAATTCAATAATTCAGTCTCTGTCTGATTGTGCTGGCTTGGGTTGCTGACAATTAAAGTTCAGCAGCATCTTGAACGGCATAGACTTCTCATCTTGCCTGTATAGGGTAGAGATGTGTTCTAGCAAGGAATGATAATAGACACAGTGGTTTTTATCTAGGAAGATCACTTTATTGCTAGAATTCTAGGAGGAACAAATAGTACTTGATTTTTGCCTAGATACATAATAATCCTGCCCTCTGAATCTCTTTCAGGATCTAGTGTTTGGCTTTGGAGAAGTCGCTAGTAGGAACAGAGAAACCTTTTTCTTCTGATTTTAATAATTAGGTTCATCGATACCCTACTCGAGATGTTCATCATCTTGCCCTTATATTACAAGTGTGAGTGCTATGTTTAGAAAAGCACTCTTCTTCTAAAATCCGACACCGTGATATCAGGACAAGGCCACAAATTATTTAGAATATAAGGGTAGCAGAATTTTCTATTTAATTATTTGTTGTTGTCGTTAGCATTAGTCTGTGCGAGTTAGTAACTTCTGTCTGAGTTTCCTAAGCCATGTCACTGAACAGTTTCAAATACCAGCATTTTTAATGATCAGAGGGCACTACATGAAATATGAATAACTTCATCTTCATTCCTAGGCTGATAGGATAGGCTTCTCTTTGGGCCTCTTTGGTGGTTGTTTCCATCCTCTTATGTTCAGTTGCTGCTGCTCCCTAGATTTTTATTGTGTGCAGTTTCAGTGCTTCGTTCTTAAAGGGTACATAGCACCTATTAATTTACAAGAGCATGTCAACCACTCTTATGCATTCCCCATTTATTTCTATCAGGTGGGAACCTGAATCATGCATATAGTGGGGTTGTGCAGGGCTTCAGATAGAAGGTATAAAGGTGTTCTGGAATATCTGCAAGTATTCATGCAGCACCTATCTGCAGCTTCTTAAAACAGCTGCATCTTTTCCCAGGGTCATATAGCTATCCTCCAGAGCTGCAGCTCAATTCTGGGAGAAGGTGCATATGGTTAGCAGCCTATGGCTCCAAAGCAATTTTTGCCTTGGGAAGGTTTTTTCAGAACTGGGTTGGAGAGGATATGATAACAGTGTAATTGTGTTTGGTTTAGATTGCTTCTACTCTTCTTTTAAAAATGCATTATTTTAATTTGCGCAGTGATATACTGGATGGGCAAGCCATTTCTCATACTTCTATACTTTGGTAACACTTTGTTATAGGCACTATGTTAGATCCTTTTCTAACTTTGCACTTTCTGCCTCTATTTTTAAGAATTAAAATATTCATACAAGAAGACTTGAATTAAAGGGTGTATTGAAAAATAATTTTAAAAATAACATGCCTTTTGGATCTTTCTAGCTGATGCAATTTTATCACTATTATTTTTTCTTTTTCTTAATTTAACGTTTTTTCCCCCCTATTTTTAGATGTGGTCTTAATGCAATCACATAATAGTGGTGAAATATTAAAAGCACTTTTATGCCAATTCTGTAAATGGCATGATAACACAAATTTTTGCATAATTTAAGGTTAGCTTCCAATTGGTGATAATTCAGTCATGCATGTTTATTTCTTTGTTATTTTCTCTTAGCATCTCATCTTATTTCTTTGTTATTTTATCTTAGCATCTCATCAACTCCAGGTCATTGGGCTTGTCTACATTCAATCCAAGCAGTTTCTCTTCCATAAAACAGGATGCCATCACTTGGGCATGATTTTTTTTTTTTAAATGGAGAAACAGTATTTCTGCCTGAACTGTACTTAGACCTTGTGGTTTGACCACATAGTATTCCCTTTTGCCTTATCGATAATTCCAGTTTTACAGCATTGTGTCCTGAACACTAACTGAACTCACAGCATATGCATTTGATCTTTCTATTGGGTGTCCATCATTCCCATGAGAAAACTTACTAACTTCAGCCAGTTTCTATCAATTTTTTCTCTTTTGCACATTCACCGTTGCTGCATCATAGGAGAGTTGGGGAGCTCATTGTAACAGCCAGAAATCCCACTCTTGTTAGCCTGCTTCCCAGAAGACCCTCAAACTTATTGTATTCATTTATTTTATTTGTACTCTCTATCAATATGGAAAACACTTTGCATTTCAAGCCTGAACCAATTGATTCAGATTTTTAACTGAACAGGCAAGGAGAAACTCCTCATTCTGTTAGACCTCTCACTCTGAAAGCCTGGGGCTGCTACCTTTTTATTCCTTTTTATTTGTAGCGGTCCATTTGATAGGGACAGTATTCTCAGAATCCTGCTAATCCATTTGCACCTAAAATTGTCTTCTCTCACAGTGGTCCATCATCTCTCTGGTCATTGGGAAGCTGATGGGTTTCTTTTCACTTCAACAAGGAACACACATTGCTGTGTTCTGCAGCAGAGCATGGAGTAATACCAACTGTTTAAGGAACGTAAAATACCATGCTAGGGCAGAGCCTTGCTCTGTGTTTTTCTTTATCTTTCAGTGTTCTCCAAGGTCACAGCGACCTTTGTCTTGTCAGATCTGTGTGCACAGTAATTACCTCATGGTGGTTGAGAAGCCATGGTTTTTCATCCTCTTTCAAGTGATTCCTCTCCAGCTGCTTCTGAAATGAGACCTAATTTCACAGAGCTCAGCCAGATCTGTGTTCCAGACCTGGATTCCCTTTGCCCATGTCTTGGTTTATTTTTCCCAGAATTTTTCATCACAGGTTTGAAGAATCTTAAAGATTCTCTACCCTGATCTGGCTTTTCTATCTCAGATAATGGTATTGGTTTGTAATTCTGCCATCTTATCAAATTCACATTCTGTTTTTTTCTGGCTCATTTTTTACTTTTAGGAAGGGCTTACCAGCCTTTTCTCTACATTTTTTGTAGTTTAACCAGTCTGTGATAAAAGCTGGTGGAATGACAGACTTCAGAATCATTCAGTCATTATGGTAGAGCGACTTCCTCAGTTGTCTTTTTCTCCTATTCTCTTTCTGACTTTTGCAGATCAAGCCTACAGTCAAAATCATTCATAGTTGCGTAGTACTGCATCTGATTATTTGGATAAGGGTTGACACTTCTTGATTATACTTACCTTTGGTTTTGTCTTCAGAGATCTGTTCTGCTGCCTGTAGATAAGCATATCTGCCACGTGCACCTCTACTGGACAGAGGACATAAATAAGTTGGACAAGTTGTGCTTACCAATAATTGTGGTTCTTTGTATGGTGATCTGTGGATTCACACAGCTCACTCCCTATTCCTTCTCCATGCTGTTTCGGAGAATTGAGAGGAAAGAGAGGAATGAATAGAAAGAAGGTTATTGTTTTTTAAAATAATTTTTATTGATGATTATATAAAATAAATAAAACTAATACAAAAATCAAATACAAAAATAGATTAATAAAATATGACAGTGCAAAGAAAAGGGAAAAAAAATCCCCCCACCAAAAAAAAAGTAGTAAGAAGCTTCCTCCTTCATCCCCAGCAACTATATACAACATTAACAATTTATCACTGTCTTTTAAAATACTACAATGTATTTTAAAATCTATGCATCTTCATTCCATACTTCACCCCATTTTCTATAAACCCATCTCTAAATCCTCATCTCTCCTTATTAATCAACAAAAGGTGTAAAGATTAACAA